CTGTGGGCAGGACACGGACGTGCTCGGCCGCGTGCTCGAGGTCGTCTCCGGGCGGCCGCTCGGTCAGCTTCTGGCGGAGAGGGTGCTCCGCCCGCTCGGCATGAACGACACGGCCTTCCTCCTCTCGCCGGACGACGCGGACAGGCGCGCGAGACTCGCCGAGCTCTTCCACGCCCCGGGCGGGTCGCTGCGAAGCTGCAAGGGGGCGGCCGCGGCCGCGTGGTGCGCGAGCGCGCAGGCGGCGTACGTGGGAGACGGCTCCTCCGTCGCGCTGCAGTCGGGCGGGTGCGGGCTGCTCTCGACGGCCTCCGACTACCTCTCCTTCCTCTCGATGCTCCTCTCGGGCGGCAAAGCGGCGGGCGGCGCGCGCGTCGTCGGCCGCGCCGCGGTGCACGCGATGACGCACGGCGACAGGCTCGCGCCAGCGGGGGACCACGCCTTCCGGAACCTCGACAGCGAGCGGCCCGCCGGCAGCGTGCCCGAGTCGGAAGGGTGGGGGCTCGGGTTTGCGCTGTCGGGCGGCGGCGGCGGCCGCCGCCCCCCGCCGCAGCTCGAGACGCACCCCGTCTTTGGCTGGGCGGGGCTGCACACCCTCCGTTTCGTTGCGAGCCACGGCGAGCGGCTGGCCGCGGTGGCGATGTCGCAGTGCCACGGTTTCGACCAGTTCTGCCGCGACCGCGGCGAAGAGCTGCACCGCGGGCTGCGCGACGTGGCCCACGGTCTGCTGCCGTGAACTTGCATGGGGGAGGGACGACCGCGCTGTTCAGTTCGGTGGTGTCGCACGCGGCAGCGGACCCAGCTCTCACATGCACGTGCGAGGTGAGCTGTGAGGGGTAGAGTACGTGTACGTGTGCGGTATGTTCGCACGAGCGCTCACGCGGGCCAGCAGGACAATATCGCAGTCCGCCCTCAGCCCCGTCCGAGGCATACTCGGTCGCCCGCGCATCGCTCGCAGTCTCGGGGCGGGGGGCGGGGGGGGGCCGGGCCCGGGGGGGGGGGGGGGGGAACACCCCCCGGAACACCCGGGAGGGTACCAAAGTCGTACACACGCCTTCCTGCTCGTATTGCTTGGTGATACTCTATGTGGAGAAAAGCGGAGACGACAGGACAGAATTGGACGAGACTGGACAAAAACCGTAAGAGAGTCAATGGGCAACGAAGGGGCAGGGGGTCAAAGGCTTGTGAGTGTCACGTCGACCTTGCCATTGAGAACTGCACCTGCACAGTCTCTTGAGCTTTATCGGAGCCCTGGACGTACACGGTCGGGTCAGTACCGAAGACGTCGTCGTAGCTCAGTGCGTACGCCTTGCCGCCAATCGCTGAGTCGTGAAGAATCTTGGAGTAGTAGAAGGTCGGGAACTCCGTGGCCTTGCCACCTTCAGGCGCGCCCTGGTAAGAGTTGCTCGGATCAATCCAGTCATCTGCGCTATCCAAATGCATGACGCCACGGCAGATGGACACGAGGACTGCCATGGCAACATTGTCACTGGCCCAATAAGGCGCACCCTTGCCCTCGGTGTTGCCGAGGATGACGTAGCCCCAATCGACATGGGATCAGCGCTCACGTTGTGCCAGTCCGAGAAACCGCTCTGGAAATCCGGCTGCGGCGGTGACTTGGCGCTAGCGGGCCTGGCCAGCTTCAGCGGCAGGTCGTCCACGTTCGACTTGTATGGCTGTGTGTGTGAAGCGTCGAGAAAGAAACTCAGCGTCTCGCCGACGCTGTCGACGAGGCCGTAGTACATCGTCTTGGTGTCTGGGTACAACTTGCTGTAGCACGTAAAGCTCCGGTTTGCTTTGAAGCATTGCTTTGTGATGTAGTCGTCCAGGAAGTGGCTTGTCTGATTGCAGTACACGCTGCTGGACTCCAAGTCAGTCGGGCCTGCCATTTTGGGCGCAAGGATCCGAGTCAAGATCGAAGACGAGTTCTTGAAAATGAGCTCCTTCATGAAGTCAGGGTTGCCGACCACAACGTCGTCGTCCAAGTTGGGGATGTTCAAGAACTCAGACAAGATGTCGCTACGCGTCGTCTCGAAGCCAATCGACCTCGTTGCACCAGCGTTGTTGTCGGTTGCTGTTAGTGAAAAGGACAGCCCGTAGAAGTCAACCTGCGTCATGTTGATGTAGGCGCCCAGGAGCAGGCGCACATCGCTTCCAGGGAGGGGGGCGCGCTTCTCTGCACACCACATGCTAGGGGGGGGGTCCGACCCCCCCCAGAGGCTTCACCACATGCTAGGGGGGGGGTCCCGCCCCCCCCAGCACCTTCACCACATGCTAGGGGGGGATCGTGGCCGAGGACCCCCCCAGAGACTCGTGGTCAGACCCTCCGGGCCCTTGATTTTACGCCTCATTTCGCAGCATTTTCGAGAGGAAAATCATCCTTTGGAGCTACATGAGCCTTGAGACTGGTCAGGTTATCCAAGATATTGGAGTTTCAGCCACGATTTCACGACTTTGGGGGCAAAATCGGCTCTCTGGCGGCTATTCCTAGCCCACAAACTGCTGGGGGGTGCCCACCACATGCTAGGGGGGGGGTCCGACCCCCCCCAGAGGCTTCACCACATGCTAGGGGGGGGGTGGGGCGTGCAGAGAAGCGCGCCCCCCTCCCTGGAAGCGATGTGCGCCTGCTCCAGGGCGCGCGGGGAAGCTCGCAGGGCGTTGGGGTAGCTATGCCTCACGTGCAGCGCCGACGGTCGGGGTCGGCGGAGCACGCCAGCGGCAGGAGAGCGCCTGGGTCCCAGTGGGACCCCCAGCTGCGACCATGGAGGACGAGGAGCGCGCAGAGCAGCTCGTGGCGCAGACCGAGGAGGTGTACAAGCGGCAGCACGTGTACCGCACGGAAATCTTCCAGCTGCAAGACCTCTTCATCGGCGAGCAGGAGAGCATCGAGAGCGTGCACAAGGCCCTCATTACGCATTCGGCGTTGGCCATCATGCAGAGCTCGGCGGCACGCATCGGCATGATGGCGAAGACGCGGCACGATGAGCGCACCGTGCGATGGAAGAAGGAGAACCCGCTGCGCGTGCGTGATGTGGTGAGCGCGCGACGCAGCGACGGGAGATGCATGGTGTTTGTGAGCCGCTCTAATTTCGCGTGCCGTCGCGCTCTCAGGTGCACAAGGTGCGCAAGCTCGTGCTGACAAAGGCCACGGGCGTGTGCGCTGGCGAGGCGACGTCACAGATGCAGCTCAACTGGCGACGAGTGAAGAAGGAGTACTTCTCGGTCTACCTCTTCCGCTCGGCGGTGACGGCCAACGCGGTGTCGCCAGTGCGGCGCACGACCACGGTGCTCAAGGCAATGCAGATGCGATTCGGTCGGTACCGGGCGTGCCGCGCGGGGCTGACGGAGAGGCAGCTGGCGGTGCTCTCGAGGCGAGGCTCGAGTCGCACGGCTACGTGCGGCTGCGCGATACGGTGTACAAGAGCTGGAAGGAGATGCACGACGCGTGCGAGAAGGACGCGTGGCGGTACAACGCCGGTGTGCTCGACGACCCATCTCGCTGCCGGAGGTTGGGAGCGGCGGGCGCGTGCGGCTGAAGGAGGCGCTGCTCGCGCAGCACATGTATTCGATGCTGCAGCGCGCCGGCCTGAGGCTAGGCTACAAGCCGAATGCGTTTGGACTGTGGTCGCTCCGTCGGTATAGCATCGCGAGGGTGGTGAAGAGCTTCGGCATCTACCTCGGCACGCGGCAGGCGCAGCACAACAAGGCCACGGGCAGCACTGTGCAGTCGACGTACGACGCGGACAACGGCAGCTTGGAGGTTGGCACGGCCGAGATGGACCGCCCGCCGGAGGACATCGAGCCGGGGGACTCGCTGGCGGAGACTCGCGTGCCGGCGATCTTCGAGGTTCAGCGGCCGTCGGACGTGCCGAAAGACAGCGATGCGTGGCGGACAATGGTGCTCGAGGACGAGGAACTCGTACTCGCAAGGCGCTCCAGCCTCGTCCAGCTCCAGCTGGCAGCAGCACACGCTCTTCGTACCTCCCCGATGCCGCTGCCGCTGCCGCTGCCGCTGCCGCTGCCGCTGCCGCTACCGCTCGACTGTCATCTCCTTCCAAGTCCGTCTCGACACGTCAGGGAGCCAGTACGTGCAGCCTTGGCGCCGGCTCTGCAGCCTACAAGGTACGAAGAGGGGCGTGTCGGCTCTCGTGTGGCCTATTAAGTGTGGGAAACTGAGTGATGGCGTCCCAGCGCACCAAAGAGGGGCTGACGCCGAGATCTCTCACGAGGGCGTGCATGTTCTGAGAGACGACGTTCTCGACAAGCAACGCACGCCCTGAGCCAGCAGCGACCGTGCGCAAAGCGTGCACAGCTTTTCTAGCGTGGCCCTTGCGTCTTGCCGCTCGCTCGACGTGGATGTTGGTCAGTGTCAGGCAAGGCACCTTTGTGCCGTGAGGAACCTGCAGCGGGCTGACGATATTGAGGACCCGGACGCTAACCTGAGTGGCGCCGAGCGCGCAGCTGGCAGTCTCGCGGCCGCGAAGTTGCGAACGCAGAACGTCGCAGGCTGATTTGGTGAGCGCCAGCACCGAGACAGCGGGCGAGGTCGCCGCGAGAGCACGATGAAGCGCAAGCGCAAGCGCATCGATCGCATCGATCAAGAGTGAATATTCAGACCTCGCACCATCCCGCGAGAGAGAGAACGCTTCTCCGTTTATACCTAAAACTGCTCGCAAAAAAAGAAGGCCGGCTTGCTGACCGGCCCGGAGTTTGTCGATCCTGCTTTGGCAGCACCTCGATCCTGTACCGTGTTTGTTATGACCCCCGCCCCCCCAATGAACACACCAGTGAGGGAGGGCGAGACGATCGAGGGGTCCCGTACCATGCGGAATCGACCCTTTCAAGTGCTTTGTTCAACTTCCTCAAAAAAAACGCTGGCCGCCTTGCCGACCGCGACCGCGCGCCCTGCAGAGTTTGTCGCCCGCTTTGGGTTCTACTGCGCCTCCCCTCTCCCGCCAGGCTGCCTCTCCCGTCGAATCGCTGGCCACCCAAAACGCGTGGGCATGCCTCGCAGCAGCTTGCTGCTCCTCGCCGCCTCGGCGCTCGCGGCTCCCGCAGACGACGGCTCCTCCGCCCGCTGCACCCTCCCCGACGGCTGCCCGCCGGTAAACGGGTCGCAGTGGGTGGGCGTGGTTTCGAGCGGCAGCCTCGGCCCGGTACCCTCGCTGCTGCTGATCGGCACACGAAAGGGTGGCACCACCTCACTCAGCAAGCAGCTCCTCCTCCACCCGCATGTCCTCGCTCCGAACTGCGCGTACGACCGCAGCGAGTGGCCCGTGCGCGCGGCGCGAACCACGTGCGTCTGGGACAAGGAGGTGCGCTACTTCTCGCGAGGCGTCGGCGTCGGCCTCGACTTTTGCTGGTACCGCCGCCGCTACCCGTGCGCCTCGCCGCCACACGTGACGTTTGACGGCTCGCCAGACCGCCTCGCCCTCGCACGGTGCCTCTCTCTCTGAAGGCTCCTCGAGCCTTCTCGGAGCCGTGCGGATAGGCTCGCCCGACTACCTCGTGATGCCGCCCGAAAAGATCGCGCTGATGGCGCGCAGCCTTCCCGCGCACGCCAGGCTGGTGCGCCTTGCTGCAGCCTCCGGCGGCTCGAGGTGGGAGCGGCGTCTCTTCACACCTCCAGCCGTGAATAGGTGGCGATGCTGCGCAACCCGGCGGACCGCTTTTACTCGGCGTACAACATGGGCATGAACGAGCGGCTCGGCAACCCTTCGACGCGGGACGAGCAAGCGGCGGCGGCAACCTAGATGCGCCACGCTGATGCGCCACGCTGATGCGCCATGCTGATGCGCCATGCTGATGCGCCATGCCACGCCCCGCGGCTGCTCACGCCTGCCTGGTCCCTGCTCTGGTCCCCGCTGCTGCTCCACTCGGAGACCCGCGCCGCGCCGCGAGCACGCGCCTCCTTCCAGCCGCCCGCTCCTCCCCACACACGCGAGCCCTCGAGACCTCGCGGGCGCACCCGTCCTCTGCGCAGCCGCCTCAGGCACGCCTCACTGCCTCCTTCCAAGAGGCACTGTCTCTCCTGCGCAGGCCACCGGGGAGGCAGCGCCAGCGAAGCCGGACGCCCCACCGCGCAGCCGCCGCCGGAAAGGCTCCGGAGCCCACCCCGCGGCGGCGCACGAGACTGTCCCGAGGCCACCCTCGAGCTTGCCTGCGCTAGGCGCACCTCACGTGGAGCTGCGGCGGCGGCGGCTGCGCGGCGCGGCGACCTACGAGTCGTTTGCAGGTGGCTCGACCGATCGGCCGGAGGGAGCCGGCGGGACGCGTCACGTGGGTTGGACGATGTTGTAGGCTCGTGTCGATCGTTGGATCGGGTGCCTGGCCGAGAGCATCCGAGATTTTGATCCCCCGAGATCTCCCGAGATAGGGTCGCTCGACCGCTGGATCGGGTGCGCGCCCGACTGCCCCGAAGAGATCGGGATCGTCTCGATGTTCTTCAACTACGGCGCGCCCCTCTGCCCGCCGAGAGTACGCGAGCTCAAGCCGAGATGTTCTCGCTGGCTGCCGGAAGCACTCACGCCCGGCCGCACTCTGCAGCGCTCACGCCGTGCTCACAGAGCTCGCCCCCCCCCCCCCCCCCGCCCCGCCCCGCCCCGCCCTCGAGCCGGCAGACGCGCTCGTGTCTCCACGCCCGTGTCCTTCACATCGCGTCCTTCACACCGCAGGCTTGTACGCGCGCAAGCTGCGCCTCTTCGCCTCGCACTTTGGCCCGCCCGTCACGCGCGCGGCCGACGCGCGGCCGGGCGCCGAGCGGCTCCTGCTCCTCTCGTCGGAGGAGTTTTACGCAGAGAGCGCCGCCACCCTTCGGCAGGTTTTCGAGTTCGCAGGCCTCGACCCCTTGCCCGCAGCGGAGGCGACCTCGCGCAGCCCCGCTGCCACCGGACCCGGCACACCGACCCACGCCAACGCCGGGTCCTCGTGGGGCGGGAGCGCGTACCTCGGCAAGCTGCGGCCCGAGGAGCGGCTCAAGCTGAGCCGCTTCTACGCGCCGCACAACCGCGAGCTGTACGCGTGGGTGGGGAAAGACTTTGGGTGGGAGGTCGCCGCCAATCTGTCCAGCACATAAATCATAATAGAGGAGTGTGATCCGCTAGAGGAGAAAAGATAACTTCTGCAGCGCGTGTGCCAACTCGCAACTGCGTGTGCTGGTAGCTCAACAAAGAAATAGCGACATGACAGTGCGGCGTTAGGACCCCGAGTCCCGAGAGATGTGTGCGCCGCGGCCGCGCCTCCCGCGCCTGTGGCTCTGACCTCTGTGGCTGTGGCACCAGGCACGCAGCCGCGAGCCGGTGTGCACCACAGTGCACCGCAGGCGCGAGGCGGCGAGCGCGGACTGAACAGGCCACATATAGCTGATGGTGGGGCGGGAGGCAGACACTTAGTCAAAAAGCCATGCGCGGTGGCGGACGAAAGCGAGCCTCATCCACGTAGTGCAAGTGCCTTCACCGCGCTATCGAGGCTGCGGGCCCTGCCTTGAGTCGAGTGAGAGTATGCACCTCCACATGCTCAAATGTCATGCACGATCTCTCCCGGGCCGTTGGTTCGAGGCGGCTCGGCGACCTCCACAGCGTCCCTCCACCACCCAACATTCCTTCCCGGGGGCTCCGCTGCCCGCACAGCCCTCTGCCACCAGCCGACATTACGTGTCGGCGCATGGGCAAGCGATAGGGTAGTCACTTTATGCGACGACAATCGGCGAAGCTCCTGTAACGTGCCCCCGTCCGCCTCTTGCAAAGCGTACTGCCACCACCCAACATTCCTTCCCGGGGGCTCCGCTGCCCGCACAGCCCTCTGCCACCAGCCGACATTACGTGTCGGCGCATGGGCAAGCGATAGGGTAGTCACTTTATGCGACGACAATCGGCGAAGCTCCTGTAACGTGCCCCCGTCCGCCTCTTGCAAAGCGTACTGCCACCACCCAACATTCCGCGCCGGTGGCTCTGCTGCGTGGACCGCCTTTAGCCACCATCCAACGTTTCGCGCTGGGAAGTCGGCCAGGCTTGGACTTGCGGGCTCTGCCGCCGCCTCTGCCGCCGCCACAGCTTCCCGCCACCAGCCAATGTTCCTTGTCGGTGGCTCTGCTGCACTCGCAGCCTCTCGCCACCATCCGACGTTGCTCTTCGGGGGTTGCGCCGCCTCTGCAGCTTCCCGCCACCAGCCGACGTTCCGTGCCGCTGGTTCCGCCGCACTGATAGCCTCTCGCCACCACCCGACGTTGCGCCCCGGCGGCTCGGCCAGACCCTGGCTGGCTTGGCGTACGCTCCGCACCGGGGCGGCAGTCAGCCGCTCCGCTGAGCGCCGCAGTGGGGACATGCACTTGATCGCAGCGGAGCTAAATACGCCCTTGAGGAAGCCACCTGACGAGCCTTGCCTCTCCACCAGAAGCTCCGGCTCGGTCAGCCGCGAGCTGAGGTAATTCTCGTCGTAGTCCACCATATCGTCGCCCCGATGCGTCCGTCCTCTGAAGCAAAAACTGAAAGGCATAAAGTTCCCGCGCCCTTCAGCGTGTCGATCCCTAGCGTCGGCGTGTGCGTCAACGGCGCGGCGCGCACGCTTCGACTGCCCTCGGTGTACAACAGCATCAGGTGCAGCTTGCTGGAACCACTTCGGGCGAACGGACGAGCGAGGGTCGTTCCTTTTGCGGTGCTCACAGTGACAGAGACGCACAGTGCTGATAACGCGTTCAATCGAGGGGCGGGTACCGTCCAGATTCCAAGGTGGCACTACGACCCAGCGTTGGCTGCAATCGGTGTGACAAGCCGCATCTCGGCCATTCGCGAGCACGACTGGAGCGAGCGGGAGCTCGACAACCTCATCGGCCGAGGGCGCTGCTCGCACGTGCCTCGGGCAGCAAATGCTGACCGCAGGCGCGCTGAGGCGGTCCGGAAGATGTACTATGTGCTTCTCGCACAACTGGCGACCACGAACCTATGCTTGCCGCTCATCCAATCCTTTGAGGAGAGGGCGGGCTGGCGTTTCGACTTCCTCATGCACGCCCGCCCCGATGCCATGTGGGTGCGCAAGGTGCCGCCTCTGGCAGAGTGGGCTGCGTGGGCCGGTCGAGGCATCGTGACCTCTTCAAACTCATCGCGTGGTCACTGTGGGGCTGCGATCCACGACTGGGCGGCCTTTGGCAGACGGGAAGCGATGCAGCCGTGGTTCGACCGTCTCAGCTGGGTGAGGAGCAAGCCGCCTGCGTGCAACGTGACCACCCTTGCAAGGCGACCGCGCGAACTCGTCGCGGCGATTCCGGTCGCCGCCGGTCTCGTACCGTACTTCAAACGGGCCCACGTCCCGCTCCGACCCGTCGAGCTGCCGCAGATCGTGCGGCGTAGCAGCGGCAGCCGGTCTGATGGCACTGCGATGGTTGGCTGCACTTGCAAGGCGTCCTTCTTCGGCGGGGATCCGCAGCGCTGCTTTGTGGCCCTCTACGAGGAAGGAGGTGCTGGCGAGCCGAGCCTGAGGCCACAGGGCCAGGGTGTCTGTGCATCCGCAGTCCCGGGGATCCGCAGTCAGTGAGGTGGGATGTCATGCACCCATTTGGGTCGGCATGGGCGCTAGGCACTACACCAGCAACAATTAGTCAAACACAGAGAAACTTTTCCGCAGCAGTCTCCGTTCTCTCTCTCCCACTTCGCATGTAAGACGCTGACCGCTTGTACTAGAGAGCGGCCCCAGGCTTCAGAGGTGTGTGGGTGGGGGCCAGGCCGAGGCCCCGGCTCCGCCACCGCAGCGTCCAATAGCGCAGCGACAAGCGCCGCACATTGGAACCGTGCGCCGCACTTTTCAGAGCGAGTTTACTGGCCCGGGTGGCACGTCAAAGCTTGGGTTGAGCGCTTGGGCCATCCAATCCAGCCCATCGTACAGCCCCCGGCCCGTGATGGCGCACGTCGGCTGGATATACCAGCGCTGGCGGAGGGCGTGCAGGCCGAGCGCCTCGGTGACCTCAGCAGCAGACATGGCGCCGGGCAGGTCCTGCTTGTTGGCCAAGACCAGAAGAATCGCGTCGCGGAGCCCGGCCTCGCTGATCATGCGCTGGAGCTCATCGCGCGCCTCGCCAATCCGGTCGCGGTCATTCGAGTCGACGACGCAGACGACGGCCTGCGTGTTTTGGTAGTAGTGCCTGCGCAACACGGGCGGCGAGCGGGCTTGTGATAGGAGTGCTTAGGTGTGTGTGAGTGGGTGGGGGGGTGGGTGGGGGGGGGGGGCGAGGGGGCTCGGACACCGCCAGAGCGGCCGGATCTTGTCCTTGCCGCCGATGTCCCAGCAGATGAATTGAATGTTCTTGTAGTTCACCGTCTCCACGTTGAAGCCGATCGTCGGGATTGTGGTCACAATCTCGCCCAGCTTGAGCTGGTAAAGAATGGTGGTCTTGCCGGCGGCGTCGAGGCCCACCATGACGATGCGCACGTCGTTCTTCTTCCCCAACAGCTTGCCGACGACCTTGGAGAAGGAGAGAGCCCCGGTGCCGAGCTTCTCTAACGTGGCAAGTGGGCGGAGCCGCCGGGCAAGCTCTTGCACCACCCCGCGAGCGCCGCACAGAGCGAGCGGCGCCGCACAGAACAGGCGGCTGCAGCTCGCTTGTTCGTGCCAGGGGAGAAGCTTTGATGTCTCCTCCAGCGCGGCCTTTGTCGCCTCCTGCGCGGCCTTTGCGTCGGACCCGTGCAGGCGCACCTCAAAGACCATCGAGATCCGTGCCGTCGAGGGCTGCACGACGCGGTGCGTGCAGGCGGGAATGCGGCCGCCGGTGAGCGTCGAGAGAGCGCGGCCCGCGAGCACAACGCACTCATTCGGTTGTAGCGCCAGCCTGTGCCACTCGCCGTCGCGGCCTTGGACCTCGAGCGCACTGACGCCGTTGTCCGCAACCACGGTGACCATCCCCGGGTCCTGGTGTGCGGGGCAGGGCAGGTGGGTGCAGTCACCCTCGACCGTGCCGCCCGAGCCCGGTCGCTGCACGAGCACCCACTCCGAGCAGTCCTCGTTGCCGTCATCCTCCGGCACCCAGTCGTTTGCGGCCGGCATCGACGCTTCGTACCAGAAGACGTCGAGGAGCCTCGCGTCGAGGCTGTTGTACGGCATGTCGAGGGCGCGGGTGGCGTTGCTCGCGACGAGGCCAAGTACGTCGCACGCCTGTGCCAGCCACTCGGCGTCGGGTCGCTGGCCGTTGACGATGAGCCGTAGCTGTGCGCGCTCTCCCTGGTAGTGCTTGAAGGAGGCGGCGTCCTCGAGCGCAGCCTGCGCGGCGCCCACTTGGCTCGCGCCCTGCATCGCCGAGCGCAACGTCGCTGCGGAGCCGGCGTCGAGGGCGATGATCACGTATCCGTGCGCCTCGAGCGAGGAGGCGACGGCTCCCACAGGGCGCGGCATCGTTTAGTGGCGCACGATGACGCCAGTTGCCGGAGGACGCGTCCCTGGGTGATTGAGACACGCCTAAAAAAAGCTTCCTCGCAGTGGACTCCAAGCAAGGTACGGGGTACACGTAAGTCATTGACGGTGTTTTTTAGCCGTACCCGGAACCGGGCCCATACGAAATGCACGCTCAAACAAACGACAATCGCGCGCTGAGGCGGAGCAGACGCGCACGCACGCAGGGCGAGACGAGGGAGGGAACAGGACGTTGCGGAGATCAGCAGGAGGATGTACGAAAAGATTAGGAGCAGCAGGGACCCGAGGGACAATGTGGAAGACGGCTAGTGCTAGTCCCCCATCGGTCGGGAGGACGACCCCGGCTATCGCGGCTAATAAATAAATAGAGCACGCATCTCCAGGGAGAGATGGGCGACGGAGAGGAGTCCATATAAAAACAAAATAAATAAAACGGACACACCAAACAAGGGGTGGGAGAAGGACAGGGTCCCCACCTGCGCGAGCAGGATCTTGTAAGGACGATCAGGGACACAGGGGAACGGGAGTGGGGAGCGCATCGCGACACGGAGGGGGGCTGGGGAGGAGTCCAGAAAGAAAAAAGAAAGAAAACGGATACCCCAAGGGAGGGATGGATGAGGACGGCACGCCGCCACCACACAGGGATTTTAAGGAGAGGGGTGTGGTGCGCTAGCCCTCGCCCACCCTTGGGCAGAAAGAAAGAAAGAAAGAAAACAGACACTTCAAACGAGGTGGGAGGAGGACAGGGTCCCCACCTGCACGAGCAGGATTTTGGAAGGACGATCAGGGGGACAGGTGGGGCTCACCCTTGGGCGTCCGGGAGGAGTACAAATCGGCAAAATTCTTTTTCGGCGAACCAAAGTCGGCGCTAGAGTCGGCGTGAGCCAGCTGCGTGCGAGGATCAAGCAGCGCGCCTTGCAAGCGACTCTCACCGCCCACTGCTGGCATGGCCAACGACGATGGAGCGCGCGCCCGACCCAGCGCATACGATCTCTTCCTGCGACGCGCTGTCCTTTGCCTCAACGTTCCTTTCGCCATCCTCTCTCTCTGCTTCCTCGTGCTGATTGCCGCCAACATCACGACAGAGCTGGTCCTGACCTCGTGCATCATTGGCGACAATGTCTCGGCGAACCTCGACGACCCAGAATGCGTGGATGAACTCCAGACGCTGGCGACTTGGCGGGAGCTCTACCTCCAGGTCGACCTCGGCTTCCTATGCGCCTTCATCGTGGAGATCGCTCTCGCGCTGGCCGTGCAGGGCCCGCGCCAGTTTCTGTGCGGCAAGCAGCACCGCCGCATGGACGACCGCGAACCATCGCTGCGGCGGCTGCTCACGATCCGCGGCCCGCGCGACCTCGAGGCAGAGGGCGTGGCGCTGCGAGTCATCGACGCGTTCGCGGTGCTCATCTCCTTTGTCATCTCGGTGGCCGTGCTCTCGAATTTTGAGGAGTGGACCACCGTCGGGGGCGGGAGGGGCAGCGCAGCGGTCGCGGTGCGGTTGCTCATGGTCGCGCGCATTTTTCGCCTCGCGCGCGTCCTCTCCACCTTCCACCAGCTCGCCGCCGCCCGCCTGCAGCAGCGGTTTCGACGGCGGCTGCGGCGCGTGCTGCGCGAGGCGAGCCCCGACCAGCCGCCGCTCGAGTGGAGGAGGAGCGGCAAGCGAGTCGTGCTGCCCCCGCCTGCCGTCGAGGGCGGCAGCCACGTCTTCCTCAGCCACTCTTGGAGACACGCGCAGGACCTGGCCGGCCGCATCTCCGACGGTCTCTCGGCTCTGCAGTGCGGCTGCGTCAGCTTCCTCGACGTCGACAACTTGCGCGACATCACCGAGCTCGAGCCCGCCGTCGACGGGTCAGACCTCGTGCTCGTGATCCTGACCGCGGGCTACCTCTCGTCGGTCAATTGCCGCCGCGAGCTGCTTCGCGCCATCGAGAGCGACAAGCCGCTGCTGGTGCTGCTCGAGACGGACGCGGCCAAGGGGGCGACGGACGAGGTCCAGCTGAGATATGGCCGAGATAGCCAAGGGCGGGGCTAGCGGTCGGGCTGCATCTCGGCGGTATCTCGGCGGTGCCTCGGCGGTACCTCGGCGGTCTCTCGGCTGTAGGTGCAGCTTGCGGCGGAGCTGCGGCAGCTGGAGATGTCGGGCGATATCTCGAACCCGCACCGTGAGGCGGCCAACACCCTCCTCCACATGCTGTCGCACCAGGACAAGAGCATGGCCGTGCCGTGCGTGCTGCACTGGTACCGCGAGCGCGCGCTGAGGTCCATCTCCCTGCGCGCCATCATCGCGCAGCTGCTCAACCTTAACCTTAACCCTAACCCTAACCCTAACCCTAGGTCCATCTCCCTGCGCGCCATCATCGCGCAGCTGCTCAACCACCGCGAGGGCTGCGCGATCGACGACTTGGGCGAGCTCGACGACAGCTCGGAGGACGCGCCGGAGCTGCAACCCTCCTCCTCTGGTGCCCCCCCCCCCCCCCCCCCCCCCTCAGCCCCCCTCCCCTCCCCTCCCCTCCGCTGTCTGCCGCAAGGCTCCTCCTCCTCCTCCGGCCTCACGCGCGACGCCCCCGCCGGCAAAGCTGTTGTCCACGCGGAGCGAGGCACAGCTGACGCGCAGGCGCGTCCGGACACGGGTGGCCAGCTGACGGCGGCCCAGGGGCGCGGCAGCAGGCCGACCCTCCTCGGCGGCGGCTTGCTCAGTGGCGGCGGCCGGTTTGGCACTCGGAGGAACGCACCTCAGCAGCGGCGCATCGTCGCGCTGAGCAGTCTCTACCGCGAGGTGCCACACGCACACACACACACACACACACACACACACACACACACACACACACACACACACACACACACACACACACACACACACACACACACACACACACACACACACACACACACACACACACACACACACACACACACACACACACACACACACACACACACACACACACACACACACACCTTGTGTGGAGACCTGGGCAGTGCAGAGGAGGGGGAGCTATGAATCAACTCATGGCTCATTGTGATTTGAATCAGGTGCCCCTCGGGCAGAGTAGAGGCTCGGGGAGCGACGCCTCGGTGTACAGCGTGCTCGAGGAGCGGACCGCAAGGGCGGGCTGGTCGAGGGGGGGCCCACGGGACCCGAGATCGCTCGAGATTAGGCGCGGTTCGCAAGGGTGGGCGTCACGGTAGTCTCCGCCGCCCCCGCCAGCCTCGGCTTGAGGCCCGCGCGCCCCACGAGGTCAAGGAGTTCATACTGACGAATCATTGACGAGCTGCCCCTTCTTGTCAGGCCCTCGCCCCCCACGATCCTCTTTCTGTGCCCCGCGCTGCTCGAGCCGACTTTGCACGCGCCGCTGCGGCAAGAGCTGCTAGATGCGGACTGATGGACCCGTGTCTCCCGGCGAGAGGACTCGCACTCTCGAGTGGACTCGCACTCAGCGGGAGCCACCTGTATACTCACGGCACGAGACCGTCAGAGCGCTCCCGTCTTCACGCCCTGAGCCTGGTCCTGCATGACGTAGGCAAGAGCTGCTCGCCCTGCTGCGCCAGCAACGGGGACGCACAAAGGGGTGCCTTGTCTCGTCCTCCTCGAAGGGCTCCGGCTGTGTCTCGGCCAATCTTGGCGAGATCTCGGCGAGATCTCGGGTGTAGGTCGGTATCCTTCTCCGCGCTGGTTGGCCGCGGGGCGAAGAGGGGAGGCGACCCCGAGGGGCGACAGGTCCCCCCTGCCATGTCTTTTGCTTCATGCGCCCTTTTCTTCTTTTTTAGGCGTGCGCCCAGGCGAGAGCTGCCGACAACCAGCTGCTGTCCTATTACGGCCCCTTTGTGTCTTCGTAGGCGCTAAGGGCGAGAGTGCGGTCGCCGCTTCGGGCTCCGCCGTCGTCGCCGTCGAGGAGAAGGCGGCGACCGCGATCCTCCCTCTCTTCTCGACCGAGCGACCGTTCAGCTTCTACTTGAACACGTGCACGCCCGAGTTGCGCAGCGCCGGGCTGTTCGAGCTCTTCTTCCAAAAGTTCCCGCTCGAGAGTGTGTACCAGGAGGCGGCCGCGCGCCTCGTGGCCAATCAGGCCTAGCCCCCCCCCCCCCCCCGCCCCTCGTTCGTTTGCTCTCGCTCGCTCCCCCCCCCTGCCCGCCTGCCCCCCACGCTAGCATGCTGGCCTCGCGAATGCAGGTGCCCCTCGCCCAAGAGGCGCCCAGCGGCTCGACGCTGTTCGATGCGGCGGCGGTGTGCATCCAGTCGACTTGGCGGGGTGTACGGGATCGTTCGAATCTAGTACGTAGTAGCCCCAGGTAGGACGGAGATGAAGCTGTCTGTACTCGTCATAGTCTTTTTACTAGCTGAATGGTTGCCCGCTAACCCGCTGACTAGGTTTTGGCAAAAGAAATCTGCGGTCCCGCCAATGCCAGTTCCAGAGACCAGAGAACGGGGCATTGCACCTACATGGTCATGGTGCGGGACCTGCCTGGGGCAGCAACCAACAACCTGGATGGGGACGGGGTGCTGCGCAATCGACGCCAACCAGCAGCGTTCACAGCACAGTGCGAACTACGTTTTGGCAACCAAAGACGCGTACACTGGGGTGCGAGTTAATGCGCGGTTGGGGGGGTCTGAAAAGGGGAGCTCCCTCTCTCCCCACCCCGAGGACCTCTGCCCAAGCTGATGGTGCCCAGCCCCCAGAGGGCCTCAGGGGCTGTAGAGTCACACCTAGGAGAGGGGGTAGCTCACACCTTGTGGGCCGCACTGACCCTTCTCCCACGTGCCCTTGCCCGCCCCTCTGACCGCCGCCCGAGAGGCCCGACTTTAAGGGGCTGGTGAGAGCCCCCACCGTTGCGCCCTCACCCCACGCTGATATATCCTTTGGGAATGCCCATGGACTCTAGGGACCTGGGGGCAGCTTTGCCCGCGGGTGCCATGCTAGGCTATGGTAGCCATTCTCCCAGATTCTCCGGAGAGGCCGCAAAAGCGGCCAAGGCGGCCTCCACTCAAGGATCGTTGGGATTTTCTGGTGACTCAGGAAGGATAGGTCTGTACTGAATAAAAATCGGTTCCGTGCTGTTCGCCCCCGGCTACGCCTGGCACAATTTATTAGAAGTCGGGGCTTCATCTTCCGCCCGAGAGAAAAATCCCTCTTGCCTCTCAGCCCACTATGCCATAGCCGCCGAGACGGCGCGCTCTGCTGACTCTCATCTAGCACCCTCTTGGGGCCTCTCCTGACCGCTGTGGGCCTCTCCAGACCTCCTCTTGCCTATGGGAGTACCCCTCTCAGTCTACTTCCTAGGACACAGGCACAGGTTTGCATAATGCGAGCTCTTTCTCAAGGGCTATAGTGCAGAGAAGAAATGCGCATTAACTCGCACCGGGGTGTACAGTGTAGGGCCCGCCAAGACCGTCGCTTGCCGCAGCCGGCCGCCAAGACGTCATGCCCGCCTCGCCCTCCCGCGCCAACGCCGCGCGCCGCACGCAGCCGCCGTCTGCTGACAGCGGGCCGGGCGGCGAAGTCCCAAAGAACGCCCTGAAGGCGGCTGCGGACGGCCGCGTGGGACCAGTGCGATCGTGGCTGAATGAAGGCGGGAAGGCGGACACTCTCGCTGAGGTATCCTCTGAGGTCAGCGGCCGTACGGTTCCACGCACCATGCTGATGCTCGCCGCACAGAGCGGGCACGTGCAGATTGTCGAGCTCCTCCTGAAGCGCGATGCCGACATCAACCTGCAAACCAGTTGCGGCACCACTGCAGTCAACGCTGCCGCCTACTACGGCCGCGAGCGAATGGTGGAGATGCTGCTGCAGCACGGTGCGGAGTTGAACCCACAGGACTCCGCCGCCTGGCCGGCGCTGGCAACGGCTGCCAAAGGCGGCCAAGAGCGGGTGGTCGATCTGCTGCTGCGGCGTGGCGCGGAGATCGACCTGCAGAACAAGAACGGTGACACCGCACTGATTCTCGCCGCCTACTTCAACCGCCCCGCCGTCGTGCTCCGCCTTCTTCGGGCGGGCGCAGACATGACGTTGCGCGATGCGGCGGGCAAGACGGCGCTGCAGTTGGCCAAGGAGGAGGGCCACGCCGAGTGCGTCCAGGCCTTCAAGACGTACCTCGGGGAGGTGGCTGCGCGCCGGAGCAAGGCGCCGTCGGCCGAGGCAGGCGGCGCAGGCGTGTCGGTGGGTGCGAGTGCCACGGCCTCTGCTTCGAGCGGCGAGGAAGGCAAGGAGGCCGAGCCGAGCAGCGGGGCAGTGCCAGAGGAGGTTGTGGACGCGGCCGAGGACGGCGACGAGGTGGTGGTGCTGGCGTGGCTCGACGGCGGCGGGCGGGTCGACGCAACGTACGAGCACGTCTTTTCGGACGGCTCCTTTGTGAGGCCTGAGAGCGGCGTGACGCTGCTGATGCTCGCGATGGCCACCGGCCACGAGGGGCTGGTCGAGGCGCTGCTCCAGCGCGGTGCGGATGTCTCGTTGCAGACCGGCAAAGGCGCCACCGCGCTGAGTCTCGCCGCCGCGAATGGCTTCGAGAAGCTGGTCGAGTTGGCGTTGCGGCACGGCGCGGTGATCAACCAGCAAGCAGCTTCCGGCAGCACCGCGCTGATGACCGCCGCCGGCAGAGGCCAGGAGAAAGTGGTCGACACGCTGATCAGACACGGCGCGGCGATCGACCAGCAGGCCACCGGCGGCGACACCGCGCTGATTCAGGCCGCTTTCCGCGGCCACCTCACCGTCGTGCGTCAGCTGCTGCGGGCGGGCGCAGGTGTGACGGTGTGCACTCACGGCAAGACCGCGCTGCAGTGGGCCAAGGAGCAGGGCCACACCAAGTGCGTGCGCGCCCTCGCGGAGCATGCGGCGACCGAGAAGGCGGCGGCGGAGGCGGCGAAGAAGGTGGCGGAGGCGGCGGAGAAGGCAGCGGCGGAGGCGGCGTGGGCCGCGGGCGCGGCGGAGAGGGCGGCGCAGAGGGCGGCGGAGGAGAAGGAGGCGGCGCGGCACGCGGAGGAGCTGCTGGCGGAGGTCGAGGCGGAGAAGCGCGCCAAGGGCAAGAAGGGCAAGAAGAAGAAGAAGAAGGGCGGCGGGGCGGGCGGGGCGGGGCCGTCGCAGGAGCCCGAGGAGGGTGCCGAGGCGCCGTCGAAGGCAGACGCAGCCGAGGCGGCGAAGAAGGCCGAGGAGGCGAGGCTTCTCCTGCTTCTCGAGACGCTCACCGAGGAGAGGATCCGGTTCGGCATCACGCCGGAGAGCCAGGCGGCGGCGTCGGCAGCGGTGGCCGAGGCGGCTCGCTTGGACGCTGAGGCGGAGGCGGCGGAGGAGGAGGCGGAGGAGGAGGACGAGGCCGAGGCATCGGCCGTGGAGGCGCTGGCTGTGGCCAAGGCTGCACGGGCGAAGTCCAGGGCGGCGCAGACGGAGGCCAGGGCGGCGATGGACGAGGTCGTGGCGGCGCTCGAGGAGGCCAAGGCGGCGTTTGAGGAGGCGAAGGCGGCGCTGAGCGGGGCCGACTCGGCTGTTGAGGGGGACGAGACGGCGTTTGAGGAGGCGGCGACCGCTGCAGAGGCAAGGGGTGCTGCTGCAGTCGCTGCGAGGGCCAGGGCGACCGCCGCCAGGATGGCAGCGGAGGCGGCCCAGCGCTCATAGCGCGAGCTGCTCAGAAGAAGCGCGTGGCCACCACCCTGCGGACTCTCTCTGGGTGGAGCTTGGGAGCTTCCGTCGAGGACACGCTCGCCGGAGGGTCATCATGCGCCGCTGAGATGTGTGGTTGGGCGTTGTCGTTGTTCATTTGAGACGTCGGTGGAGGTCAGAGCGGGGGGGGGGGGGGGGCGAATCGGGCCCGCGGCGCGCAGCCGCTGGCCGCGCGGCGCCCCGGCGCCGGCGGGCCGTCGGGGATCGGGGGAAATTGCGCGGGATTTTTAACGTTATTAGCATGCATGACCGCGACGTGCGTTCCAAATTTGCAATATTAAATTCGTTACAAGAAAAATGTGGCCGGGTAACATTGGCACGCTAGATCACGCACATGACGAGGCGCTAGACACTCTCGGGGCACAGGGGAGGAACAAGCCCGCGTCTGCGCGCCAGTGCGTGGCCGAGCGAGGCGAAGCCGCGGTGCGAGGGCTCGCACTAAGCGACCCTCGCACTGCGGGCCGACAGCCTCGCCCGCCCCGCTGTGGCATCACGACTATCTCCACACGCTAGAGGGGCCAAAGCCCGGCAGCGGCAACGCCGTCGTCAGCGTCGCGGCGCCGCCGATGCCGAGCGGCGCGGGCGCGGTGGGCTGGCGCGGCGCCGCCGCAAAGGCGGTGGCGGGGTCGGCCCACGGGTCGCGCAGCGGCCCGTTGCCCAACGATGCGATCGGCAGCGGCTGCCACGTCCCGGCCGTGGTGGCGCCGTTCTGCGCGCCTCCCCACGACTGCACGGCGGCGGCGGGGGCGGGCTTGGCCGCCCAAGGGTCCAGCCGCTCGGCTGGTGCGGCGAGGCCGCAGCCGCTGAGGCCGGGGGCGCGGAGGCCATTGTTCAAGCCGCTGCTGAGCCCCGGCAGGGGGAGGCCCGGCGGGGGGTTGGCGGCGGCGTGGATGCCCGAGAGCGGGAGCGCGACGTTGGCCGCCGGCGCCGCGTGGGGCATGCTCGCGGGAGCGGGCATGGCGGCGGGCTGTGTCGGCTGCGGCAAGTGGGGCACGTGCGACGGGTGCACGGCGGACGGGAGCAGCGGCGGCGCCGCGTGCGGCTGGTGCGACGGGCCGGCGCGGTGCCGCTGCGGCATGTGCGGTTGTCCGGCGGCGAGGGGCGGGGCCGGCGCGTGGGCGTGCAAGTGCGGCGGCTGGCGCGTCGCGGCGACCGCGGGCTGGGCCGCCGGCCCGCCCCACTGCATCTGCCGCTCCACTCCGCGAGCCTCGTGCTCGGCGCCCCGCCCGCTCCAGACCTGCTGCCACTGCCGCTGCCGCTCCGCGTCTGCCGCGCCGCCGCCGCCTGGGACGCCAGCCACGCCAGCCTCGAGCCGCTGCTGCTGGAGCGAGAGGGCGAGCGCGCGGTTGAGCTCCTAGGGCAAGGCACCGCATGCGTGAGCTGCGGACGCCTCGCGCTCGCGCAAGAGGAGCGCCAGACGGGGGCACCTCTCGCTCCCTCTCCCGCTCGTGAGCCTCGTACGCCTAGCGGCGCGCGGTCCGCGAAACGAGTGAGATGGAAGAGACGGAACGGCCGCGGCGGCGGCGGCGCGCGCCTCGCGGCCGTGAACATTCAAAGACGTCGCCGTGTCGCGGCCGTGAGGCAGCCCTCCTCCGCCATGCGCGACCCGCGCCTGGTGGCCGGCGCCATGCTGGTGGCCGGCGCCATGCTGGTGGTAGAGCGGCTCGCCCGCGCGCGCCGGGATCCGCACCGCAGCCTGCTGCCGCGCGCGCGCCTGCGAGAGGGCGCGCGCGCGCGCCTGCGCCGTCTTGTGCGTCTCCGCGCGCTCGTGCGCCTCCCTCGCCTCCCTCGCCCGCGCCTAGGCAGCAAAGGCGGCACACTCCTCGCGCAGCGCAGCCTCTCGCACCCCTCGCCGCCCCGCA